CCCGCCGTAGACGCATCCGCGACCCCGCGGTGGAATCCTCGTTATACGAGGAATACCGCGGGGCGAGGGTGGGACTGCAGGCGGCCATTAAGAGGGCCAAGGCCGGCGCCTGGAGCGAGCTCCTCCGGACTCTGGACGGCGACCCGTGGGGGCGGCCGTACCGCATCGTCCTTGGACGTGTGCGGCCCGCCGCCCCCCCGGTCACCGAGAGTCTCGACCTCCCTGTGCTCGAGCGTGTGGTCGGCGCCTTCTTTCCGGACGATCCGGAGGAGGGCTGCCGGCCGCTCGAGCCGGCGGCCCAGTTCACCTGGTCCGCCGACATGGGGGTCGATGAGGAGGAGTTCGCGGGGGCCGTCGCAAGCCTCGGTGGCCGGAGCAAGGCCCCGGGGCCGGACGGCATCCCCGGAAGGGCGCTGCGCTTGGCCCTGCGCGTCCTCGGGCCCAGACTCAGGCGGCTGCTGGACGGCTGCCTGATGTCTGGGCGGGTCCCGCTCGCGTGGAAGCGGGGACGGCTGGCCCTGGTCCCGAAGAAGGGCAAGCCCGCCGACGACCCTTCGGCGTACCGACCGATATGCCTCCTCGACGAGGCGGGTAAGCTTTTCGAGCACGTGCTCGCTGCCCGCCTCTCGAGGGGGCTGTCCGCGGGTGGTCCCGGACTGGCCGACTGCCAGTTTGGTTTCCGCGGGGGCCGGTCGACGCTCGATGCTATCGAGCGCGTCCGTGCCGTCGCGGAGCTGGCGGTCTCCCGGGGGGGGGTGGCGTTGGCTGTGAGCCTGGACGTGGCCAACGCCTTTAACACCCTCCGCTGGGACGCGATACGCGGGGCGCTCTGTGAACACGGAGTGCCCCCGTATCTGCGGGCTGTGATCCGGGACTACCTCGCGGACAGAGAGGTGGAGTACCCCCGTCGGGGGGGGTACTATGGTACGACGAAGGGTCCGCCGAGGAGTGCCCCGGGGGTCCGTGTTGGGCCCACTTCTGTGGAACCTGGGGTACAACTCGGCGTTGTGCGGGCCCCTCCCACCCGGTGTGCGTGTCGTCTGCTATGCGGACGACACGCTCATCATCGGTGTCGGGAGGGACGTGACCAGGGCCAGCCGTATG